TACTGCCTGTCTGAAATGAATATGTAACCCTGAGTGGTGGACTTTTATTTCTGGACCTCTTGCTTAAAAAATTCATATAACTAAATATCTCCCTGTTGATTACAGATCTGAGGAAGCTCAACTGTGATTGTTCCAGCAGGAGTCCAAACTAAATTAAATTAGAAGATTGCCTTGTGAAATATCTGTTTAATAATGAAACTGAAAAACTATTTTCTTTTGATAATTTTTTTTTTAAATCAGCCCTTTCTATTAATAAGAAGTTCATTATCCAATTTTTTTTTTATTTTGTTACATATTTATAAGCTTGTGATGATTTCTTAGTTCGGTGCATAATTATGCCTTTCTCAGGGGGTCCTTCTCCATAGCATTAGGAAAGAAATCTTGATAGCTTGGAATGTCCTTTTTTTTTCCTTTGCAGTTCTTGGATTTCAATTCTTTACACCATTACCTGCATAGAAAGTTAGTGGGTGGAAAGAATGGCATTTTTAGGAGCATCTTACCTTCTTTGGGTCCCTGGAGCACATACATATATATGGAGAGATCTATATAAAAAGAAATTACATATGTCCCAGCAATTGCTGAGTGCTATAATGGTCTTTTGGTGTTGTAGTCTGTCGGGGGGTTAAGCTATTTCACAGTTGTTTGAGATGAACGATAGAGTTGAAAGTCTGGCCAGTACCATTTAAAAACATTGAGCAATGCCTCTGAGTATCTTTGGAGAGAGAAAGCTAAAAAGAATACTGTCAGTATGTTACTTAAAACAGAAAGGAAATACGGGTAGGCGGAATTTAACTTTGTGTGCTTAGGCAGAATTTAACCCAATGTTAGTTTATGTGATCATAAATATCCTTTCTTCATAAAAAATCTCATAGAGTATTTGGGGTAGGTTTTTTATAATGATCAGAGGGAGGAGGTTAAAAAAAGACACAGACAAACCTGATAAGAGCGTTGTTTAACACATCTGTTTTTTTAAAAGGCTGTGGTTATGTGTGACCTGTCAGAGTAACTAAGATGTATTATTCAGGTGTATTTTAATGTGAAGTTTTTGATGCTGCACTTCTGAAAATATGGTTCAAAGACTATAAATGGTCTCAGACTCTTTTACGCATCCCTTCCTGGGACGGTAACGTTTAAGTGCAGTCTTTGAGAGAAGTATTCTCAGCCTGCTTAGCCACCAGCAGACATTAACATGAAGTTTTCTTTACATGCGTTGATGTACACAGTGTTTATAGCAAAATATCAACAACTATGAAAAACTCATTTTGCACAGAGGTGCCAAATTTAAATAAATATATTATGCAAATCATATTTTTTGTGCTGAAGCTAAGTACCAGACTTTTACAAACCTCTGTTTAAATTGACATTTTTATAGTTGCGGGGATGGGGGTGTATACATGTATAAGTGATAAGCAGTCCAGCTTCCCCATTTGAATGAACTAAGCGTGTTTCAGTCAGTAAATAGCTATATCCACAAGACCTTGTGGATCAATTTCTAATGACCTACTAGAAAGTTTGGTTGTAACTCTGGATGTGGGAAACATTCTGGAAAATATAAGATAGTCAAGGCCTCAAGTAATTTTGTGAAAAATTCAGTGCTTTGCATGCAGAAGGTGTTTGATGCCTCATGACTTTACATACGACTTGAACCCACTAACATCTCTGCTCTGTGGTGTTGTATTTAGGATGAGGAGTACAGCAGCCCTCAGGAACTCCTGCAGGCTCTTCAAGGTCAAGGGCAAGCCTTTAGATAGGTTACAGACCATTTGATTATGTGCCTTCTGTTGATGAAAGAAGGTCTTTTTCATCTCCTGGTTAGGCGGAACTGTGGTAAAGGCTTGAGATGTCTATCTTCCACCACCATATGGTTTTAAATCATTTGTACTTAATGGGGTGCTGTGGGGCAGTAACTTGGCTTTTTGGAGTAGTGAGACAAAAGCAGTATCTTCTATCTTCTTCTTCTCCGAGTACTGTAATGGTCTTTTTGGTTGTATCAATGATATTTTGGGGACTACAAACTACAGAAAAATGCCTGGTCAAAAATTTTGGTAAATCAGCAGCCCCAGAGGCTGTATTTTGCTACTCTGAATCATAGTTCCGTCAGTTCTTTTATAAGGTTTAAGTGACTCCAGTATTGAACCATTTTAAATTTGGATTTTTAAATTAAACAATTGCAACAATGTGTTTGTGGGTACAGTTGATTCCCCTTCTGCAAGGAATGCTTCCAGGAGTACAGCTGATGCAACTTTATCACTGTTTATTGCTTCCTTTTTACTCCTATGTTAATGTATCCCCACAGTATTACAGCAGGGTTGTGATACGGTTTTCAGATTTGTTCTTTTACCTGGATTGTAAAGGCACTTTTAGAAAATGGCTAGTTCCCTTGTTCGTTGCATCTACCAACATCCTCTGTAACCTACTATAAATCTGTTTTGATATACGAATGATTTACAAAATTAACTTCCCTCCTTTTGTTTTAAGTAGCTTCAACGAGTCTCTGATCTAATTTGTCATTTTGTGCAATCTGTCTACTTTGAATGTGTTTCTCTTTTTCTCATCTGGCGTTACATGAATTTAACAAAGTGTTATGTAAATATACACATACGTATATAAATATGATATGGTATTTTTATGTTTTTACTATGTGGCATTACAAATATCAAGTTTATTTGAAGTTAAAGATTGATTTATGTCTTACTTTTACATACAACATGCTGGAAATAAGTAATTTCAGGTGAAAATAACTTTAAATTTTTTCTTACAGAGTGCAGATTTAGTAAAGGTATATGAGAGTTCTGTATTTGAAGAACCTTGCAGAACACTGATGAAGTACTTGCGTTACATTTGAACACTGAATAATTATAAGAAATTTGAAAGCTGTCAACAGGCATAACATCTTTGACTTTGACTGAAGTTTGGCCTTCTCTGTGGAGCGCAGGACTCAATTCTATAGGAAGAGTTTGCTCACTCTTTTATTATGTTCTCTCTTTATTGCTAGCATCATTCTCCATTCAAGTGGGGAGTAGTATCTTGAAATTAATGCATGGTTATTGCAACAGGATTGACTGAAAGCAGCTGAGATGGTGTGCACGTAACCTTTAAATTGTGCTGTTCAGCTGTTCTTTCTCTTTTTCATTCATTTACCTTCCTTACTTTCTGGATAGGATGTACCCAGCCAAGCACGCAGGTATGCACAAATACCTCTGTATTTGCCAAATTAAAAGTGAAACTTGCATTTAGTAGATTGCATAATTGCAAGTATAAAAAATGTACATGAAATCCTGTACTGATTTCTGTGTCATTTCGGTATGTCCCAATTTAATTGTTATTCACAGTCTGTTTTAGAGGCCCATATTTGTTCCAGAGTGTTTGATAGCCATCATAGTTTGAATTTAGAGACCCAAAATTGTAAGAAAATTTTCCTCATAAATATGACTTTGAAATGTTAATATTTTTATGAAATAGAAATGTTTATACTGGATCTGTGGTCCTCTGTGGCTTCTGGTGTTTTCTATCTTCCATGTTTTCACCTCCTAAATTTCGTTATATGACAGCTGAAGATATTATCACTTTAAAATACTATTTTGCTTAGAAGAAGTAGGGACAGCTGAGGTCAAGGGAAGTTGATAGAGATCTTCTGTGTCTGCAAACATAACCTGTTCCACTGAGCACTACCGAGAAACTTCTTTCTGTTGACAGGTGAATATGTTATCAAGTATGTATTCCATAATGACATCTTAAAGTTTTTTTAAAAAATCAGTGACTAAATAACATTTTCTTCTATGAAAACTGTAAGATCAAATTTTAATGCCTAAGTTTAACTCAACGTTCTTCTATTCTCATCTTTTAAATTGAATCAGTACTTAAGGTATCATTTTTCTTGAATCGCCTTTCTGCATATAGAATTCTTTGTGAAATCTATGCAGATGGCAGGTAAAAAGGGAGGACAAAAGACCATTGCTTTTTTCAGCAGATTTTGCAACCTTAAAAGAATTTTTAAAACACTGCCAGTTTGACATGTATTAGATATGTATCAAGAATTGAAATATTTAACTCTGTTGTTAATTTATTCTTTTATTTGGAAACCCACATAGCATTTGAAAGATTTGATATTATCTATCTCTTTTTCAGTCAAGCTGGTTACTATTCATCTGTATTCTGGGTGTTCTAAATATGTGGACCTCTTCATAACTGATGTATCACTTTGTGATCTGACTGACAGCATTTTCAGGCTAGTCACAAGAATCAAATGCACTGTAGCCTTACTGTACTTTGAAAGTTTGGCCCTTCATACCAAATAGTACATTTGCTAAGTGCAAACCAGCACTTTTTTGGTAATACGCATATGCATACATATCTACATACAAAAATTGGCCTTCCAATGTCAATTCGCATATCTAGTATGTGAAGTTTGCAGAATGACCACAGGTAAAAGAAAGTGTATGTGCTCATGTTGCATGCATTGAATTTACTGAGCGTGTTTCTTTAGCTTAATTCAACACTATTTGTGTTTCTTTGTCTTTAATAGTGTTGCAGTGGAGGTAAGAACTATACACTAGAGGTATGGTGGCTTGACCTTGGCCAGCTTCCAGACGCCCACCCAGCTGCTCTCTCACTTCTCCCTTCTCAACAGGACAAGGAGAGAAAATGAGATGAAAACGTTCATGAATTGAGATAAGGATGGGGAGATCCCTTACCAATTACTGGCACTGGCAAAACAGGCTTAATTTGGGGAAAATTAGTTTAATTTATTGCCAGTTAAAAGTAGAGTAGGATGGTGAGAAACAAAGACAAAAACTGAAACGCCTTGCCCCACCCCCCTCTTCCCAGGCTCAACATCTCTCCTTCATTCCAACTCCTTTATCTTCTCCCCCATAGGGATGTGGAGAACAGGAGTCTGTCCATGACAGTTCTTTGCTGCTCCTTCCTCCTCATGCTTTTCCATTGCTCCAGTGTGGGTCATCTCCATGGTCTGTGGCCCTTCAGGCTAAACCTGCTCCAGCATGGGTCCTCCATGGGCATTAGTTCTTCTAAGGAGAATCTGCTCCCGCGTGGGCTCTCTGCAGGTGGCAGTTCCTTCAGGAGATAATCCACCTTGCTCTGGCACAGGGTCCTCCATGGGCTGCAGTGTAGGTATCTGCTCCAGTGTGGTCCTCTCCATGGCCTTCAGGGAAATACCTCCTTCACCATCGTCCTCTCCATGGGCTGCAGGGAAGTTTTTGTTCCAGTGCCTGGAGCACCTCCTCCCCTTGATCTTAGCATTTCCAGGGTTGTTTCTCACACTTTTTTCCCTCACTCCTCACTGCCTGGGCAGCGTTTTGTCCTTTCTTATATATGCTTTCACAGAAGCACCACCAGCTTCACTGATGAGCTCAGCTATGTTCTGCAGTGGGTCCATTGCAGAGCAGCCCCTCTTCTCGCAGACACCGCCACTGCAGCCTCCCTGGTATCAAAACCTTGTCACCGACACACAATACAGTAAGATGGAGAGAAAGAACATAAAGGGATGAAAAACAGGTCCACAAATACAGAAATTTGTTTTGTGTTGTTTCTTACTGTGGTTAACTTATTTTTTTCTTTTAGCATCAGTTCAGCTACAATAAAGTTAATTTGTGGTTATCAGTTTCCTAAACAAATGACTGGAGCAATTTTCTGAAAGACAAACTGAATGCAGTGGGAAGAGGATGTGAAGTGCGTTTTTGATCTCTAAAAACATATACAAAGAGATCAGGCTTGTATTCTAAACTCTTGAAAGATGGAAAGAGGCAATGAGTAGTTGTTTTTTTGGCTGTGTATATGGTGTGTATCATGCTGAAAATACTCTTCTTGCATTAAGGAGGGCATTCTTTGTATACTTTTCCTTCTCACCTATTGATTTACTTACACATTGTTGAATATAATTTTTGAAATCCTGCAAAAGTATTTTTATATCCTCTTACCTATTTACTGAATAGTCTTGTTTAGATTCGGACTATAGTTGAAGTGATGAGAAGGTCTTCTGTCACTGAGATTGTATCTTCTTTGTCATTATGGGTTATGTTCTGTTTTGAAAAGTTGCCTATTTGCAACTTCTTGCACACTTGTCACTGCTAGTGACAAATGCTGTTTGATTGAGTATTTATTTAGTAGATCATAAGGAGCAAGATTTACTAAACAGTGTGAAATGTTTCAGTACCTTTGTTCTTGGGCGGCAAACCGAAGGCCTTGATTGTGCAAGAACCAACATGTGCATTTAACTTTCAGCTACTAGTAGACATCACCTGGCTGCCTGGGCTACTCTGATATTTGCCGGCTTTTGCTTTTCAGATTTTCACCATCTTTTTGAGTGTTTGTGCGGTTTCTCATGTTTTGCATCCTACGTTGATCTGTATTGGTGCCTGAAGCTTGAAGAAAGCTTGAATAGTTCTACAGAAGCTATAATATCAACGTGTCTGAAGCATGGATATGCTCTAGGGCAGGCTTAACATTGCATCTTAGAAAGTATTTTCAATTTGTAATTTAGATACCGATTCTGAAAACACTTTCTTAAATTTTTCACAATTTTATGAACTTAGAGTAACCAATTGATTTTGAAGGGGCAAGGCTTAATTGGTCCAGAATTTTGTTTTATCAGAAATGACAATTGAAGAAAATATGAGGAATTCTTAGTAAATAACATGTGAAAATTAAGTTTCATGTACATTTTTAAAAATAGTGCATGAAAAAATGTCTTAACCAGAGTTATGTTTCACTTCATAGTGATGTAGTAACGTCATTTTCTGAAATGGCATATTTATTTTCTTTTTAGTGGTCATTGGCAGCTCTGAAAACTATGGTATTTTAAAATGGCATTATAACAAGGTTTGTTAATTATGTACTAAAGTTAACCTTATATTTTATTATTTCAGTTGTTCATGGTGGACAATGGAGCAGATGACTGGAGAATAGCCATGACTTATGAGCGTATTTTCTTTATCTGCTTGGAAATACTGGTGTGTGCTATACATCCCATACCTGGGAACTATACATTCACATGGACAGCCCGGCTCGCCTTTTCTTACGCTCCATCCACAACAACGGCTGATGTGGATATTATTTTATCTATACCAATGTTCTTAAGACTATATCTTATTGCCAGAGTTATGCTTTTGCATAGCAAACTTTTCACTGATGCCTCATCTAGAAGCATTGGAGCATTAAATAAGATAAACTTCAATACCCGTTTTGTTATGAAGACTCTAATGACAATATGTCCAGGAACTGTACTGTTGGTTTTTAGTATCTCATTATGGATAATTGCTGCATGGACTGTCCGAGCTTGTGAAAGGTAAGGTTGTTCTGTTTGTTTACTTCTTTCTGTCTGTCTCTCTATTTTTCTCTCTTGTTTTGCCTCTTTAGTTTTGGATTCAGGGGACCTAAATATTTAATGGAATGGAGCTTCCAGGTCCTTGATATTTTAAGTGTTGGTTGGGTTGTATTCTGTGTCACAGATTGTCAGGAATGCTTTGCCTTTTAATCTGAAGGACTTCTGGCAGTGCCATACTGTTTACTGTAGCATTGCGATTTGATTTTAGTCTTTTGATATAACTTTAGGTATGTTTGCTAAAACACAGTGGACAGATACCATAAAATGTCTTTAAGAGTAGTTATTGATATTCTGCATTGATATCAACTCTCATTTATTTTGTTTGTAAGTTAAATTTGTTGAGGATAAGGTAGATAAAATGGCCTTGTAAAATTCCAGTGGAAAATGTTTGGTTTTTTTTTAATTTGAGTTTTGTTGTCCTGTAAAAAAAAAGGAAGTGCAAAATATTGTTGGGGAGTTGGCAAGATCAAAAGGGGAACAGGCAGAACAATTACAGTAATAACTCTTTTTTCTTCCCCTAAAAAGCAGAAAAACTGCATTTGAGAGGCAGACTTTCATTCATTTCAGCTAGTTTTCCAACCACCCCCTCCCACAGAATAAACGGCTATCAGTGCTGACAACTTGAAATTGAATTTCTCAAACGTAGCTTTAACAAAAAAGAAATGAACTTCTGATTGGATAGGATTGCTTAGGATTATAAAACAGGTTAACTCTAAGGAGACAATTAGGATGATTCTCTATGAAAGATTTAATACCTGGCACAGCTCCTAGATCCTGGAATGAATTTCTCCTTACTTAAGCTGGAAGATCTTCAACATATTTAAGGCATTTCTGCTGCTGGTTGTTGATCATTTTGTTTTTCCTCTTCCTTTCCATGTCTGCCCATGTTTGAAGCAGTTTAGGGGAGTTATTTGTGACAGCTAGCTAATTTAAATTAGCAGTTAAATTGCACACCAACTTTTATGGTTATGTTACTTTTGGAAATTACTCCTTGCATTACTTCTCAATTTGTTACAAAGAAAAATAGCTGATCTTATAAACTAAGTGTAAAAGATCATGTTGACGTTGTAGTTTTTATTGTTAAAATTGCCAGAATTGTGCAATGTAGTTTGTTACAGTAGTCGCTTTGTGTCAATGTTGTTTCCTTATGTTATGGCAAGACTAATAATTTAAGAATGTTCTGAAAATGCTATGTTAACAGAGACATATTATAGTTTCAAAATACTCCCCATGGTGGGAGCAGATGGAGCACTCCAGGTATCGGCTGAATCTATAGCAGTTGTATTTTAGTAAGCATGTTCTTGTTTCAGATGTAACTTCTACAAAGCCTCTCCTCTTTGTCTCACATTCTTCACCTCTGTTCCCACCAGTTTTCTTTCAACAGAATTACTGTTTAGGAATTCCTGAGTGTCTACTCAGGCATTTCCCAAATTGTCACTTGTGAAGTGGCTCTGAGTAGCTTCAGCATCCATTGCTGTCACTGTTTTATTATTATTATTGAAAAGTAGCATTAAACAGTCATCGTGTTACTAACTTTCTAATAGATGCACATTCAAAATAAGCTTATAAAACTTGTACCTCTCTCAGTGAAAATTACTGAAAAAGAACTGAGGCACTTCTGAATCACTGTGATCTTGGGAAGACGCTTATTTGTTTGGTCAGGTACACTGAACTCAGGGTTACTAACAAGGCTGAATTTTCTTCAACTCTCTGCTAAACTAGTAATGGATTTTCCACATTTTAATTTGTAGTTGCTGTCCTTGAAGTGACTGTAATGGTTTGGACAGTAAGCTGGATAGCCACTGACTCCTCTAAAACTGAAACAAAACACAACTAAAAGCAAGTTAAATATAGAAGTGAGTATTATATTAATATGTCTCTAGTATAATTACCTTCTGTCTGTGGAGTCCAGTCCAAGATTATGTTCCTTCACATTTAACAAAATTGTTGATTTTATGTTTCAAAAACACTAAAAGGGATATATTTTGGCTTTGGGATTTAGATACTTGTGTCATCCATGCTAGTCGCACAGCCAATTTTGTGTGTTTTGCCTCAGATTTTCCCCTGAGGGAATATGTAAGCATTTTTCCAAATGAATGATGATGGCTCTGGATTCCAGTTACTAATTAGTCCACCAAAAGCCTGTAGATCCATAGCCCATAGAGAAGTACATTTTTAAACAAAGCTCTCAGAAGAAAACCCCAAAACACATCGGAATGTTCTTAACACTCTGCTGTCTGAAGCTAAACATCCCTTTTTGTGTAGCTGGACACAGATATAATAGCCATTTGTCATGGGAAAGGACAAATACGGCCACTGGATCCGTTCTGTGCTGTGTAGAGGTCACAGTCCTCAGAAAATGTCTCTGGAGATCTTAATGGCTTTGATTTGCTCGGTGGTTAAAATTTAGTTTACACACATAAAGTACATTTCTTTCATCTGCTCTTAAGTTGATTTTTTTTTTCCTCAGGTTTAACTAGAGGGATTCTTTATTTGTTGGAATAGACTATTTTATGTACACAAAATGATCCTGAAAATAAGTGTTTTCAGTAGGAGTATTTGCTATTCTGCTTGACAATATACATGAAACCCTAAAGAATTTTGATACATTTAGCAGAAATTAGGAATTAGGCAGCAGTCTGGTGGCTTTTTTTTTTATGAGGAGAGATTTACATGAATGAAATTTGATGGTGCTAAATGGTTCTCAGCATCACTCTATCACCAAGCTCTTTAATTTATGTTATATAGTAGTTTTACATAAAGCTTTGCACTAGTGGTTTTAGTATTTCTTCAGTGTATTGAATCAGCTAGCTGGCCATTCGTATTGGAACAAGATGATGGTGATAAGATTTAATAGATTAAAATATTAGAAGTTTGGAATGGAGATGAAACATTCTCACATTATTCCAGTCCTCAGCACGGGGGGAAGTTGCAGTAGGCAGTGTCCTTACTGTGAAGTTGTGAGTGTTCAGCAAGAGCTGTTGCTGCTGAATGACAGCCTGATTTTGAGACTGTTGCTCTATTCGAAGTCAGATTTTTCTGATTGCAGGCTGTCCTGGGAATAGGAATGGAGATTTGGAAGCACCACATTTCATAGCGAGGAAGGTAACATGAAAGAGCATCGTTATCCATCTCTCTAAGAAAACCCCTGTAGAGACAGGTTATGGGTTGAGGCAGGCGAGTTGACCATCTGAATAAAGACTTCACAGCTTTAACGGTCATCTGACTGATTACTTGATATACACTGAACTAAGGCAGGACATGTGTCTTTCTCAGTGCCTTAATGGCTTTATTGTTAGCTCCCAGAATGCTAATTTTAGCAAGTGACACTTTGGGTTGGTGAGCAAGGTATTTTCCAGGATTGCAGTTTAAGGTCATCCATGAGGGCAGAATGTAGTACAGATAGTGATGGTGGGCAGCCAGCAGAGTATAAACGGGTTGCTAGGGCTGCAGAGTAACCTGGCTGAGGCAGTTTGGGAGGAAAAGGTTGGGAAAGCGTTGCTGTATACACAATGCCAGAAACTCTTGCTTTTTTATTGCTCAGGTTTTTACGTCTGTTTTGAGGGGAAGATTACATTACATAGGTTTTAGTATCTGTCTTTTCATTGTTAGCAAGAGTATATTGCTGTCTGTCATACGTGGGCTTCATAATGAAAATCTAAATTTTTTATTAGGTCTAACTCAATAAATGTTTGTGTTTATAACATCTCTGAGGCACATGATCTAGCACACTTATGAATATGTTACTTTCGTATTATACTTTGTATAATCTGTAAGCGGATTACTTTTTGCAGTCTCCTATACTGATCTTGTTACTGAAATAGCTCTGTGCATGGTCATCAGTTGTTTATAGGAGTTAAAATTGAAATATTTGGTTTCTCAAAAAAAAAAAAGTTAGTATGCATAACATTATGTCATTGAAAATTCTGACAAATTTGCTTTGCTTTTCTAGAGACCTGTCTCTGCTGTAAGAAGTGTGCTGCTTTTCTAGGTTATGTAGAAGATAGTTGCTGTTGTTGATCTTTTATTTTTTCTGTGCAAAGGAAGAAAGAACCTTGCCTTCTGAATGCACACACGGCTATAATGTGCCCAGGTATCAGGGCAAGATGAGCCACCTGTGCCCTCGTTACACTGTTGTATATCCAGAACAGCTCACATCACTGTAAATCCACGCTGTGGATTTACAGCAGCAGAACTGAAAACAGAAGTGGATTTTCAGCTTTCCCAGAGAGCACATTTTTGGCACCATTTTTGGTTCTGTTTGTACCTCTCTCTAACTTCTGGCAATGAAGTCAGTTCAGATTGAGCAGTTTGTTTAGTCAGCATTTCTTCCTCCCATCGGCTTCTGCTCTGTATTCTTTCCTTGATTTAACAAAAAAGCAAACAAACAAACAAAAACAAAGCAAAAAAAAAATGTGTCTGTGTGTGAAGGTGAAATCCTTTTCTGCTCTCTCCTCATTCGTGTTTTCTACAAATAAATAAATATCTGTCTTAATTCTTGGAAATATGATGCCATCACAAAGCTTTCAGTAAGCAGCTCGTGCATGACAACTGCTAGGCAAATGTTAAGGATTCATTTGATACAAACCGTTGGATGCACCGAGACTTTCAGTTGTGATTCATGCAGGAACAAATGTTCCTTAGCTAATTTCCTTGCTGTATGTGTTCGGCTTCTTTGGTTGGCTTGAGGACCCTATCTGAAGTTGTACACTGCACCTGTAATCCCAAGGCCACACTGCACTGGAAATTGCCTTTAGCAGTTCTGCAGTGCCAGTGTGAAGGTTCTTGCTAGTAGTTTAAAAAAAAAAAGAAAAAAACAAGCTTGGGTATTTAGTTTTAAACCCATTTTTAGCCCCAAAAGCTCAGAAGCAACGATGTATCACTTTTTTTTTTTCTAGCTAGTATGTCTAATTATGTCAACAGATCAAATAATGTTTGTATATTGACAGTGCTGGCTGTTT